TTTTAAATTCCTTTTGAATATTGTTTATTTTCTAATAATTCATTGTAACTATAATGACACAGTTTTAGATAGAAAAAAGACAAGAGAAAGTGTAAACCTTATAATAAATCTTTTTAACATTGAGAAGGAATTAATATGAATTTTAAACATTTAGTAAGTCATTTGTACTTATGGGGTTAATAAGTTTATTACTTAAGTGAACATTTTCGAAATTTTAAAGAGCTTGAGTTAAAGCTTGTAGAGTGCATTTTACACAAATTTTACTCATTTTAATCAAAAATTTGGTAATCATGGTGGTTAATTGATTCTCTGATCGAGTCGAAAATGAGTTGAAAATAATGTAACGATATCCTGATCTTTTATTGTCATTGCAGTCTTGTATTTGATGTACACATATTTGTCACGAACGCATAAATCCCCAGTCTATATATAAGCGTAAAAATTACCTATGCTAGCAATCGTCTTTCAAACTACTGTCTCTTCCGATAAGAACCGGCTACCAGAGCCGTGTTTATTTAGCCAGTAGTTACCAAGCCACTTTCGCTCGAAGAGAAAAGGGGTGATCCGTCCGGGCGAAACATTCGATGCACGATTGCATTATTATATGACCCCTCTCGCGTCATATTTTTTTCGCATGGCACCCGGGGATCGATGATCAGTAATTATGCAAGACACGACAGTCATGGCGTGCGTACGCACACGCGCCGGCCAACATCTAGGAAAATTATCTTCCACATGACAGGCCGCTGCAATTGGGGAACTGCAATTTCGTGATAGCGCTGGCTCTTCTGAAGGCTGACACCGGGACAGACTAGTCCTTCTTCGCGACATATGCTCTTTGCAACCCCCTGGTAGCAGGTGAGCGGCGAACCTCGCGAGAATTATCGAAATCAGCTGCCGTGGAGCTCAGGTAAATTTTCGAAATTAATAAGCGAACTGTACGCGCTGTCCCATTCAATCGATAACCTGGATATTCAGCTGGCTATTGGTAATAAAGTAGAACTTCGATTAACCGGTCCTCCGGTATTAAAATTCCTTATTGTCCGAGCACTTTTCACATGCAATTAGCTCAATCTAAAGCAACCCGTATGCACGATCTACGATAAAAAGCAATAAAAACCATATCTGGCACACTGTCATTAAGTATTTTATTATCCAAACAGTTATAAGATTCTGTTTAATCGTTTAATTTGATCTGTTTCTGAATAATCGAGGTTCCGCGATAATCGAGACTGAATAATTAATTTCACATTGCAAAATATACATTTATATAATTTGTAGCACATAATAGAAACTGATCATCGAAGAAAAATGCTAGTGCGAAAAAATTGGGCACATCGTTAAATATATATGCACTAAAATGCATCATTACATTTTGGAAAATGAAATGCATACAATGACGATCCCTTAATTCAGCGATATCTCAATTTTAATTCGAGCATAAGCAGCCATTGTGAAATGAGTCTATCCACGCAGTTAAGTTTAATGAATTTTATTAAAATCAAATACCTAAAATGAGCGTTCAACTGTTACCATTCACACACGATTGGCTCAGTCTTTTAAATCGTGAAAGAAGAAATGTGCGTGTCATCGGAAAATGCACGAGGAAGATGCATCAAATAGATACACGAATTTGCAGTACTTTCTGACCAAGCTTGAAGAATGTTGTAGCGGTCTTTAGGATAAAATATACAGATTGGAAATTCAGTATCGAAGTGCATCTCTGCTGCACGCAGATGCATCAGGTTATTTATTTTCCTGAAGAAACACGATCGATGACACATGCCGAGACATCTGCTGGCCACCGAAAATTTCCAGATTACAGACCGTCCATTGGCCATTGTTCCGCGACCGGTGGCGGCAATTTTGTTTCGGAGCTGCATCTACCTGCACGAGTGCATCCGCGCAGGAAATATCGATCATGCGGTAATATAATCGCGTAGATCCGACAGAAATATCAAATTTATCAACATGAAATCACTCGCGAATTTTCTCAATCGCGTCACCGATTCATACCGACTGCCAGATATCCTGATAACTATGTCAGATGTACTGATAACGACACTGTATATATTCGGAAGCTTGTAATTATGATTTAATAACGCGACGTCGACATTCATTTTATTGCTTGTAATCGTAAAGAGAGGGAGAGGAAGGGTAAGGAGAGAGGTCGACGTCGCTTCCTGTTTCGATGCGCAAGGATGCCCCTCTGTTGCAGTTTGCTCCGTTTTTTTTCAAAATTCATAGGTATATTATAAGAGAATTGCCGAAACATATGCGACACTGCACCTGCTTGAACCCGAAACAAGAAGAACGTTTCCATTACTCGAAATTAGAGAGGAATTACCCTGCGTCGCGAGACATGTGTTTAATGCGAGGACGCGGAGGGGTGACCGATACACACGAAACAAGAACGCGTCTCGTATTTACATGTTTATTGTTCTCGATATTTTTCCCAACACCTTACACCGGAAATAGGGTACAAGTATATTTTTTCGACATCGCGGCCGCGCCGCGACGCTCCCTTTATGTTAATTGCCTTGCGGATCCATGGCCTCGTCCCCCGTCCTCTTGTTGCGCTTCCATATTTCATTGTCGATGCTATGGAAAGAAAGAATTGAACAAGTTACTTTACTGGTACCGCGAACAACTGTCTCAGACGTGCATGCAACGCCAGTTATTGTCTCGACGACAGCTGAACTGGAGATCTCTGTGCAAAATAAGAATTGTCTGCATTAATTGGAGAACAATGGGACACACACACGCGCGAATAGAAATTGCATTCCTCCCTTTATGGTTTCTTAAATTTTCTAGTTTTCTTGAAGTTGGTTCAATTCTTTCACTGCCTTGAGATCGACGCATTTATTTTTGTCATAAATGTAATTTGCCATAAATAATCCATAGTATAATTATGACGTTGGATGCACACTTTTACGAAACCCGATAAAAAATATTATCGCAGGAAGATTTCAGTGCCTCTAACATTGCGACAAGGGTATCTATCTTAGATAATCTCTGCAAAAATTAATTTATGTTGTTATCTTACTCATCTGCATCCTCGCTGTACCCTGCCAAAGTTCGCCACAGCTTCAGCGAACCTCCTATACGCAGTGGAAAGTCCTGCCAAGTCTGAGCATCTAGAAATGACGTCAGAATATTACGATCTCGAAAAGACGTTCATTCTCAATGCTAATGAAAATGCTTTGCCTATGGATTGATCTAATATTTCTAAGAAAACTAAAGTTGTTCGTTTCCTCCATCAAAGATTGCGGTATACCAATTTCTGGAATATCAATTTCTGGAATACCAATCTTTAATTTATAATTTATAGTGTAATTTATAATGATCTAATATTTTTACGAAAACTAAAATTGTTTATTTTCTCCAACAAAAATTGTAGTGTGCTAATTTCATTCATATTTGTAATTTATAATTCATAATGTATTTTATAATGATCTAATATTTTTAAGGAAACTAAAGTTGTTCGTTTCCTCCATCAAAGATTGCGGTATACCAATTTCTGGAATATCAATTTCTGGAATACCAATCTTTAATTTATAATTTATAGTGTAATTTATAATGATCTAATATTTTTACGAAAACTAAAATTGTTTATTTTCTCCAACAAAAATTGTAGTGTGCTAATTTCATTCATATTTGTAATTTATAATTCATAATGTATTTTATAATGATCTAATATTTTTAAGGAAACTAAAGTTGTTCGTTTCCTCCATCAAAGATTGCGGTATACCAATTTCTGGAATATCAATTTCTGGAATACCAATCTTTAATTTATAATTTATAGTGTAATTTATAATGATCTAATATTTTTACGAAAACTAAAATTGTTTATTTTCTCCAACAAAAATTGTAGTGTGCTAATTTCATTCATATTTGTAATTTATAATTCATAATGTATTTTATAATGATCTAATATTTTTAAGGAAACTAAAGTTGTTCGTTTCCTCCATCAAAAGTTGCAGTACACCAATTTCATTCATATTTATAATTTATAATGTAATTTATAAAGATTTAATATTTCTAAGAAAACTAAAATTGCTCGTTTCCTCTATCAAAAATTGCAGTACACCAATTGCATTTATATTTGTAATTTAACTTATAAATGTTTGTAAATTGTCAAACAATGTAAACAATTGAGAATATTGAACTTTTTACCGTGAACCGATGGATACTCCATGCGTCTCTTTATGGGGCCAGAAAAAGGATCCTCGTTAGCGTAAGATGACCAAGACTCAGGCTAGGAAAAATAAATGTTAATTCGGCGATGTTGTTAAGAACATTTATTTTCTGCATTAATTACAAGTACCTGCGATCCGCGCGCGGTGTGTCCTTCGTGTTTAGCAATATTCTTTCGAGATTTTAGAAGCAGATCCTCGTAGCCGTCGCTTCGACCCACGCGGGGTATGTTCTTCGCGATTTTCAAGAAGAACGCTGGCACTTCGTCCGCTTTGGAAACGTTTTGCAAAACTAACATCGAAAATGTACCGACTAGAAGCACTGGAAAATGATTTGCATACGATTATTGAACCGTTTGAAAATAATGTGTACAAATTACACATTTCTAATAATGTGTACAAAGTCATTAAAACACTGGAGAATGATTTGTATACAATTCAGAAGCATTGACGAATAGTTTGTGTTGAATTATTAAGAAATAGTTAGTAATAGTAAAATAGTAGAATTAGTAAGAAATATCTAAAAAATCAATCGTGAACTTTCACCCATATCTATTTGTCCAAATGACTTTCGAATGAACTTTAATCATGAGTTCCGCTTTGTTTAACAATTTGGCTTAATATATGCAAGAATTCTTTACGAAATTACTTTTAAAAACTGTCTACTAGATTGCTTGTCATTGAAGGTGCAATGAAATGCAAATTCTCAATAACTCGATATTTGTAGAATTAACTACTCGAAAAGCTAGATAACGAAGTCACTTATCATTTCACACATTGCTAGTTTCAAAAACAATATGAACATCTCTGCAATCATGTGGTCACAGAGTTAGATAATTTATCTAACAAATAAATATTTCTGCTTGCAAAGCCAACGATATAGAAAAAAACTATCTACAAATAATAACCAGAAAAATCGTGGAGTTTCTTGCAACAATTGTACAGCGAATGATGATTATGAAACGGACAATGACCATAAAGCCGAAGGATTCTGACACTAAATTCTCAAACGATAAAAACACCGATCACAGCCACCGACTTCGATCTTCCCGAAAATAGTAACAATTATTAAAGAAAAAAACAAAAAAACAAATCAAAATAGAAAAGCATCGAATTAGACTTACCACTAACGAATAAACTCCGCCCGGACATGTTCCTCTGCGATTTGGATCTGCAAACGATTGAACCACCGTTCAGAGTCACTAGCTTCCAAAAAGGAACCGTGGAAACAACGTTTTTAGATTTATCCGACAGTGAGACCCGTTCGATGGACCATCGCCATCCTCCGCGGAACGAAGATCGACGATCGACAGCGGAGAAACTCGCGACTGACACACGTTCCACGGCCGTATGGGGTGAACTGCGCGATTTTCATAGGACTTCTTCCATTATAGCGGAGAGTGGACAGAATACTTGAAGATCGTGGGCGAAGGAGCTTGAACGCGGAAGCCCGGTCGCATTTAAATATTCCGGATGTTTCCACGGGCATTCGTGATCACGCGTGAAAACACTCGCGACTGGGCTACGAGCGAGCGTAAACAATCCCGGTCTTCAGAACCACCGAAAACTGGGCCAAAATTCATGCTTTAAGGAGAACATAAATGTCCGGGCTGTTGAGCACCGTGCTATAAAACTTTCGTACATTTCGAATGAAGGGCGTTCTGTTAGTTGAAGCACAGATTTTTGTCTCTGTTTTTAACGAGATGCAGATTTCGTTAAAATGTTTGCCACTTTACTTGTGGTGAAAAATTATTAGTAGTTGGGTCAATGTGCAAGATAAAAATTGTCTGCACTAATTACAAGATACATGAACTACGTTGGCATCGATTTCGTTATTTAATCATTTCAACGAGGCGACAATAATGCAACATAAAATTCTTCTAACGATTACAGCGTTTCGTATTGGATTGATTTGTCTGTTTCAAGATTTCAGAATGCGTGTGCCTTTCAATGATCATTAACCTATTATTTAATGAAGAATTTAACGCTAAACCAACTCTGCCAGACAAAATAACCTGTCTCGCATTCTTTCTTTTAATGTTGCTCTAATTACAGACATTTTTGCAGGAAACACTTGAATATATTTCTTAATTCAAGCGCGCGTTGCTATGAAAATGGTAATGCAGCGCGATAAATAAAAATGGCGAAGAATATATGTAAATTCGGTCTTGTTGTTCTCGAAAAGCGACACACATTAGTTACTTTTAGTGCACGCATCGTAAAACTTGTTCCGCGGCGTTTAAGAAATTCCTCGCAGCAGACAGAGTTTCGAAGAGAATGTCCGCTTGAAGATCGTATAACAAACTGAGAACTGTTTCGATGCTTTCAACGTAGTCAAATATTTTATCCAGTTTCTTCTTTCGCCGGATGTGTGCTTACTTGGATACGAGTTACACATGGAAAGGAGGAAGCCAGGTAATGTAAACCGGAGAAAATTGAAACACGGTTTCCCGGCTCGTGTGCTGTACTCACCTCGCTGTTCACGATGCACTGACGCCGGATTCTGCTTCTGTTTCCTATTTATCATCGAATCGCCGATTCATTAAGCATTTCGATCGTGTCGATACGATGAATCGGGGGCTTGTTAGCACCCACATTTTCCTGAATTAATTTGTCGTTGCGCGAACGTTGTCGGGAAATTTTTGTCCGGCGAGTTCGAGAATCGTTTCGAGTGATCTACGCCCCGTAAATTAAGAATCGAAGTAGATAACTGTGGTCTTAGCTGATTCTTTATGGTCATGATTGATTTAGAAATTTTGAAATTGTATAACGTCGGGAATTCTTCGGGGATGTTGGAACATTTTTGTTTTTTTTAAGATTTCTGGCCGTTTTAAGACGACGATTGCATGGTGTTTATTTGCGGGATTAGCGAAACGGAAATCAAGATGCAGATTTAAGGGACAATTGCTACACCGTTGATTTATTACGAAATAGTTTTTAGGTTACGTGCTGCAAGCATTATAACCCTTATCCGGGTAGGTGAATGAAACGTGCCTTCCATATCAAACTGTTCGATCTGCATTTCAGATATCGGAAGAAGTTTCGTTGAACTTCTGTCCGCTAGGAAAATGAATTTAATTCGAGAATTCCTTTGAGCAAATCGCTTGTCTTGCCACATTTTCTCCATGTTTGCATCGCGGAGCAATTAACGAATTTCGCGTAACAATTTTTGCTGCCCTCTTGAACACGAAAATAATCGTAAAATCAAAGAAAAGAAGTTTTTTCGAGTTTTTGACAAATAGTATGAATACCCAAATAATTCAAACAGTTTCTTTGAGGAACATCCGACGAATCGAATGAATCTTCAAATTATCTATTCAACAGAATACAAATTATTTCTGTGGACTGTATTTAACAGAAACATATAGATATATGTTTCATATATTTCATATCAAAGAAATAATTAAACTACTGCTGTTATGCGATCATTTATCAAAAAATCAATGAATTCTAAGTTGCTAAAATGGATCAGAAATTCTATGGAACAGAATTGCTGAAAATAAAACGACTTAAAGTAATGATTTTCAGGCAGTGAATAATTGTTGGAAATTGGTTATAAAGAATCATGTCACTTTATTGTATGAGAACATTACAGTTTAGAATCGATTAATCGAAGCCTCAGACGAGAGATTACGTAAGGACGATTGTTTTTGACGATGCGACGAGACTCGGAGCACCGAATCGATAAATGTGGAACTTGCGAAGCTCGGTTGGCACATTATTAAACGTTGATAAGGCGGATAAGCGACGTTGATAGCATATGTAATCGATGTGGTGGGGTTTAGTATCTTCAGTTGGTGTCTTGGCGGCTCACCCAAGCGTTGCAGGTGTCGACTACCGACTCGCAGATCGATGATATGGCTCGGTTGGTGAACTCATAATCTGTAAATATTATAGAAAACACAAAAGATTCAGTAAATTGATGAGATGCGTCGAAGAAATTATACGGTCACTGATGAATTGGAAAATAACACTGTGCAAAAGCTTAAATAACAAAGGAAATGTTGTCAATATATAGTCAACAGAATTTTAGACAGTCATAATATTTTACAAAAATATGAATGCATCCTAAAATTACTCGACAATGATCCAAGCGTTGTGCATACAATTTTAAACAGCGGAAATATTTTGGATCGATGTGTGAATGTATCTTAAAATTATTACACAGAGGTTTAAAAATGTTCTATAGAATTTTTATACAGTAGGGACTCTCTTATCCGAACATTTGTTTTTACAATATTCTGAGATCCAAATTTTCTACTATCTAATCATTGTAGTATTTTTAGATACATTATCGCTTAATAAAGAACATGAGTGAAATTTTTAAATAATAAAATGTTTTGGTATCAGGATATTACAAAAATAAACCTTCGGATAAGAGAGTCTCTACTGTAATGTCTTCATGTTTAGACAGGATGAAAATCTTANGAGCAAATCGCTTGTCTTGCCACATTTTCTCCATGTTTGCATCGCGGAGCAATTAACGAATTTCGCGTAACAATTTTTGCTGCCCTCTTGAACACGAAAATAATCGTAAAATCAAAGAAAAGAAGTTTTTTCGAGTTTTTGACAAATAGTATGAATACCCAAATAATTCAAACAGTTTCTTTGAGGAACATCCGACGAATCGAATGAATCTTCAAATTATCTATTCAACAGAATACAAATTATTTCTGTGGACTGTATTTAACAGAAACATATAGATATATGTTTCATATATTTCATATCAAAGAAATAATTAAACTACTGCTGTTATGCGATCATTTATCAAAAAATCAATGAATTCTAAGTTGCTAAAATGGATCAGAAATTCTATGGAACAGAATTGCTGAAAATAAAACGACTTAAAGTAATGATTTTCAGGCAGTGAATAATTGTTGGAAATTGGTTATAAAGAATCATGTCACTTTATTGTATGAGAACATTACAGTTTAGAATCGATTAATCGAAGCCTCAGACGAGAGATTACGTAAGGACGATTGTTTTTGACGATGCGACGAGACTCGGAGCACCGAATCGATAAATGTGGAACTTGCGAAGCTCGGTTGGCACATTATTAAACGTTGATAAGGCGGATAAGCGACGTTGATAGCATATGTAATCGATGTGGTGGGGTTTAGTATCTTCAGTTGGTGTCTTGGCGGCTCACCCAAGCGTTGCAGGTGTCGACTACCGACTCGCAGATCGATGATATGGCTCGGTTGGTGAACTCATAATCTGTAAATATTATAGAAAACACAAAAGATTCAGTAAATTGATGAGATGCGTCGAAGAAATTATACGGTCACTGATGAATTGGAAAATAACACTGTGCAAAAGCTTAAATAACAAAGGAAATGTTGTCAATATATAGTCAACAGAATTTTAGACAGTCATAATATTTTACAAAAATATGAATGCATCCTAAAATTACTCGACAATGATCCAAGCGTTGTGCATACAATTTTAAACAGCGGAAATATTTTGGATCGATGTGTGAATGTATCTTAAAATTATTACACAGAGGTTTAAAAATGTTCTATAGAATTTTTATACAGTAGGGACTCTCTTATCCGAACATTTGTTTTTACAATATTCTGAGATCCAAATTTTCTACTATCTAATCATTGTAGTATTTTTAGATACATTATCGCTTAATAAAGAACATGAGTGAAATTTTTAAATAATAAAATGTTTTGGTATCAGGATATTACAAAAATAAACCTTCGGATAAGAGAGACTCTACTGTACTAGAAAGACAAAAATTGATTTATTATAATTATTATAATATAATTATTTATTATAAATCATTTATTAAACGGAATCGATAGAGATCTATAAGTATTGCATGGTATTTTAGATCTTGGAGACAGTAAAAATATTACAAACTATAGATAAAGGGTAATGTAAAAGAAAGTTTTACTAAAATGAATGCAATTACAATAATATTTGCAAAATTCGTGTACGGTGCAGAATAATTTTGTACTCACCAACTATTGCGTTGGATCGCTTGCCGAAGATGCTCCCATTGAAAGGAGGTTTCCTGTAGGCAGCATCGACGGAAATAGCGAGAACCAAGAAAATGGCGACGATGGCGAGGACGATGCGGCTGGACACCATTTTGACGATTTGTGTGTTGGTTTACTAGAAAAAATACAGGAATTTTTAATTCTCCACACCTTGATCTCTACACCTCGGTACGGATTTCTGAGTTTGCTATGAACGCGACCGACCTACTCAGAGGAAACACCGAAGCTTGTTCAGCAGTCGATGAAAGAATGTTGCAAATAAGGCAAAAGTCTCGAGCTTTTATACTCGAGCAAACAGCTAGAGACAAATGTTGCCGTCAAAGTCAGGCGACCCACATTATTCGCGACTGTATTCGTCAGGAAACTCGTCTAAGATTGTATCGATCTCTCGAAATGTGAAAATTCTGTATAGCGAACGATAATGGTAAGCATTCTTTGCAGATGTATATATAAATCGGAGGCAAGACGCTGAATACGAAAGGAAGTGATTTTACAAAGAATATTTTGACGAAATGTGGAGACACTGATCGTACCTGACGCTGAAGATCTTCTACAAGGAAGAGACGAACTTGTTCTGCTGTCTCCGGATGAAGGATCGGCTTTTATAAGACGCCGACCACGTGCCGTCATACGTGGTGCGATAGGGTGTGTAACAAGCTATCAGGAACGCAATTAAATGATGGCTAGTTCTGATTGTTTTTTCGTCCCAGGAGAAATCACGATCTATCTGTGGCCAGGAGAAGAGTGTTTGAAGCAAGTCGTAGCAAGAGACTACAGGTCTTTTTATTTAGGTATAGTTTTTGAACTTCTGAGGGTGCAAATGGAAACTGGAAGATCGTATTTTATGATAAGACCACTTAGGTTTAAAAGAAAAGCTCCGAATCGTGCCGGAAAGTCAATAAATTCAAATCAATCAATAAATGAATGAATGAAATCTCATAAATGAACTGTAAGAAAACCGAGCACCCAAAACCGAGTACATCATTGGATTCAGCTTTACAAGCTCTATCACTTTGCTATATTTCATAAAAAGGTGAGCCTCACTCTTGGGGACCTTTCCTTGTCAGTCGTGTCTTTAATAAACAAAATTGTTATAAATATTAAGAAGCCAGAAACCGATCGATTCGTGCAATTAAAATCGGCTTTTAATCTGAAGAAAGATAAACGGGAGATAGGCCGGCCTTTTTTTTCTGAGTCGTAAACGAGCAGCGGGTGCGGGTTTTGACCTGTCAAAAATTGTTATCGTTGTATTCTTCGCGCTGACTCGAGGTCATCCGTTACCCTAATTAGCTCAGTGTGGATATATATATAAACCGTCGCGAGGATTTTAAAAACATAATACAGTAATTAGAAGGGCAGATTTTAATGAGTCGTCCTGGCGAAGGAGTGGGTGCAAGGGGTCCGCAGGCCGCGATCGCGAGTTTGACATGCCTTCGCTCATTCGCTCGGCAGCCTCGGATCGCGAAGCTATTTAGCGATATTTTTGGTCAGACATTCTAAGCTCTCGCTGTTCCGAAAATTTTATTCTTGAGGAATTATATCGCTGAGACGTTCAATGGGTATATACGATCGTTGGGAAATTAGGTCGCAGAGATATTCGGTCGCAGGGATATTCGGTCGTTGGAATATTCGAACACTGGAACATTTATATCGTTGGAAAATTTAAATTGCCGGAATCTTCGGAAGTAGAGAATTGATCTGAAACAAAGCTCAGATTTTCATGGGAAATTCTATCGCACATATTGTCGCGATTATTGCCACAGCTTTCGTGGCGATTTTCGTCGCAAATTCATTGATCGACCAAGGTTAACTTTGAGAATCTGTTGCTTATATTTCAGAGAATTTAATCGTGGGCTTTGGTTACCGTATTCGGGTGGGTTTTCGATTGGTCGTTGCACGAATTTTCCTCGAAATCTAAGAAGGAAAGTATCAGTTACATCAACAAAGATCGCTACATCGTACGTCGCACTCTTTTCTTTATTCATCTTAATCTATTTTTATATTCTCTCGCGATTGAATTTAATCGAATTTCATATTATTGTTATAGATCTTGAAATCACATGCGGGGGGCAGAGATCGGGAAGCAACGCGGTCGGACTTCGTCGAGGAGGAGCCGATGTAAGTGTTATCTTTATAAGCACTCATAGCACCTATAACCTATAACACATAATCTATTTTCACATGTAATAGCAATTGAATTTGATCGAATTTCTTGCTATTGTTACAGATCTAGAGACTACTGTGGATGGCTGAGATCGAGAGGCAACGGGTCAGGCTTCGTCAAGGAGGAAGGGATGTAAGTATAATCTTCATCACTATTATGATATTAATACATTCATCATCATTATTATTATTAATTTCATGAACGATGTTGGACGTATTATTTTAATATTTCTGCGCTTGTCTTTTTATTTCAGGACTCTCAGGACTGTTTTTTTTATTACGTAGAAATTTCAGATTAATTTGTCATGTACAGTGATCAAAGAATTGCCCGGCAGGGGGAATTGTAAAATAATAATATTTTGTTATAATTATAGATATGATATCTGTTGTTTAATCACTTCTGAATTTTCAGCTATAAACTTTGTCTCGATAATTCGACGAACTGGAAAGTCTCTAATAACATCTATCGAGTTGTTGCAAATGTAATTTCGGTTTTCCAAGTATATAGCTTACGAAAAAATCTAAATTACTTTTGCAATGCCAGCATTGTAAAGCTTATAAAATTAAACTCCGACTGCATAATACCTGTCTGCAAGAAAAAATGTATAAAACTACCGCTATAGGTGTACCATCATTAATTATCTAATTAGCAGAAATAATTGCTCAACTGTACATAAAAATAATTAGAATTTATATCGTATTTCTGTAGTATACAGTTTCACCCATACTATTTCCACCAGATAAACGTTCGTGACATAGACATTTATTGCCTATTTTTTATTTTTTTTTGCCTTTTTTTTATTTATTTCCATTTATTGCATTTAATGAAATATACAGAATATTCGCTTTTTGTTAACCTATTTTTCGTGAGCTATTGATAACGCTGATGGCGACAGATCGAAAGGGGTTGTCATCATATACCTCGTCCGCGATAATACATTCGTGTTGGATTTCTGCAGCTGCCTTCGAGAGTATACCTTCTTAGGTTGATTTAGACTAACTCTTTGACGAATTGTGGCTCCATCCATGGTAAAACGCTGAAACATGTAGCCATGGGACAAATTTCAGCGTTTTGCCATGAATGCAGCCACGATTCGTCAAAGATTGAAATATCCTAACTCGACCTTACATAACTATTAAAGTTTGTTTAAATAAACTTATAAACACGAAAATAATAATTTTAAGCCATTGAGTATTTTAAGCTTGTCATAGTAGAAATTTAGTATAAAATATATTCGATTCTCACCAAGAAGAATATGTTATAAGGGATGATTCTACCCTTATAACATCGAGTCAGGCTCGCAAGGAAGACTTCGAGCATGGTCTGTTAGGGTATCAATAAACAGCTGATGCTTAAATAAATGAATTCACAATTAAACAAAATGATGATGTAATGAAATACGAATCACATATAATTATTAGACAATTGTACGCATACGAAACAAGATGTTTTAAATGAAAAGAGCGGAGCTGGACCGTTTCATCTGTATACATGGATCGAGATCCGAGAGAACCGGGATGATATCCAAGGTCCCGTTTTCATCGATGCACGGTTTCCTGAAGAACAGCTCTCTCAGCAGCGTTCCGTCCGTGGAGGGCTCTTCTAGGTCCTCCTTGCTCTTAATTTTCAGATTCTGCGTCTGACACGAAACGGCTCCCTTACTCGATTTCTCGTGCAATCCTCTCTTACACGAACTGATTATCACGGATATCGAAAAGCGATCAGAATGAAATCTTCGTAGATTTGACTCTCAGAATTAACGTTTCGAAAAATCATTTTCCAATATCAAAAGCAAAATAGATGTTCTACCGTATTGAATTCCAAACGAGATTAAAAAGTCTCTCCGAGAATTATGAGACACTGCGTGTAATAATGTTCTCTTACGTTGATGTTACTATCTGTTCGGTTTGACAAGCTCGATGAATCTTCTCCGCGCTTTTCTCGGGCCGTTCGAGCGTTTCCGCATCGAGCTGCTTTATTGTACTTTGGAATTTTCTTTCGAGAACGTCGAATTCCATTTGCTTCTGCTGGAGCGCGTCTTGCAACCGCGCCTTTTCTCGTACGAGGTCTCTCACCGTCTCCGTCAGCCCGAGGAATTGTTTCTCCTGTGCAGCAATCTGTCCCGTTAGCAGCTCCAGCATCCGTGAAATCCGTGTCTTCAGCTCGCTGGCCTCTGTCCGAGCTACTTGCAGCTGATCGGAACGCGGAACCCAACATTAGCAGGCGTCACCGTAAATCGCTAATTAAATGGTTCGTTCTATCGATGATTCGAGGAACGAATGCTCTTTGTGTGGATAGATTTTCAGGGATAACGGGCCAAGAATTAATAAATTTATACCGATAAAGCAATAAGAGAAATCGATCACGAACTTCCTTATTACATTTCGCGAGAAGACGAAGACGGAAAGCCGATTAACTTTCGAAAGTAACAACAAAGTTTCCCGGAAGTACGGAACTCACGTTTCAGGACTACCGTTCGAATTCGATAAAAGTTTTTAACTTGTTATTGAAAGTTATTTACATCATGGAACATTATCAGGGAACGACTGTATTTACAACTAATTTCGAGTTACAGCTAGTTTCGAATTGAGTTTGGCAACATTTTAATCGAATTGATAAAAGAATAACTGATAAATAAAGAATGAAGAATAAATAAAGAATAAATAAAGAATAAATAAAGAATAAAGACGAAACAATAATATATTATTCGACTGTATCGAATAAATACGCGATCGAATAAAAATGTATCTGAATAAAAATTTATCCGAATAAAATCTTATTCGAACCAGAATTTATTCGTTCAGGAATTCGTACGGAAAATAATTGATTTGAATAAAAATGATGGAATATAAAATGTCTCCTCATAGCTTATGGATTTATTTAAACAAAGAATTATTCGAATAATGAATTATTGAAATAAAATATTCGACTAAAAGAAATAATGGCCCACTCTGGTTCTGAATCAGTGAAATCAATCTCCTTCTAGATATAATCGCATACTAATTTATAAACTTGGTCTGAGAAGGGACGGAAATAGAAATAATTTTTAATTCTTCCGAATAAGTCCGCGATCATCACTGGATCTGTCAACACGTTGCAACCTTTTCTTCTCGAACTTTTTTGACGCCGCTGCAATTCCGTAGGTTTAATAATGTATTCAAAGATCCGAAATTACTTGGAAGCCGAGCTGCTTCACCTCCGACTCTCGTTGACTCAGCAACTTCTGGTACTGACTTCTCATTGCCTCCTTCTCCGACTCGCTGACAATCAGCTCGGACTTCGCGTCGTGCATCGCCTTCGTGCACCTGCGACGTGAAAGAGTAAGTTTCGCGAGGTCGGGTCGCGGGAACAGGGAGAACGATCGACGAAAGCTGCGGGCAATATCGCGCGACTCGATTTATTTTGTCCGTACTGGTAGGGAAACCGGAGCTTTTCTGTTTGGAGACGGAGTCTCGTTCAAGACTCCGAGGTCCTCGGCTCCCGGCGTAATTTTATTTCCATTATTTCGTTCGCCGGCGCAACAGCCGCGAGCGACGATTACGCTGCGATTATCTTAATCGAAATCGAACCCAGCCAGCCGACCCCGAAACGCTGATATGCAGATCGTCGAAGAATTATCTCGGCTAATCCTTTAATGGAGCCGGCCAATGGGAACGCAGACGACAGAGCTCGCCGGGACCTCGACAAATTGCGCTGTCGAAGTTTTAATGGTTGTTGCTGGGACACGCGAACCCGTTCTCGGTGATAAATGTCACCGCGCCGAGAAAACCTAACTAATCCGACGAATTAAACGGCGCATGAGGAACGTTCCAATAAGCGGTCAACTTCCGAGACGTTATCCGAGTTTCGGGAAAGCACGAAGGTAAAGTATAGACGTGAACGGGCCTTGGTTGCGACGCAGCTGGCAGCGTTGACAGCGTTGACAGCATCGTAATTAGGCTTTTGTTCTACCCTCGTGGCTATTAATCTCAGCGTATAATTTTTCTTTTACGAGCCACCGATATTTCGCTTTCACGACAGCAACGTCGCCAAGAGACCTAGAAGCTAATCTGTTTCACCGTATTTCATTTGTGTACCACTTTCAATACATTTTTCTCGACTTTCATCTCGAATTAATTACCAAATGACTCGGCTGCGTCGTTGGGCTGCTAATTGTACTCGGTAAAAAGAAATCGAACTTCGATGGAAAATTCGTGTTAACCACTTGCTGTACCAAAATAAAAATGATTTACGTCAATTGCAGGAAATAGGAAGAAAACAGAAAGTTCTTGTTTCTCTTAATAATGCTAATAGATTGAAAACAATGCATTGACACTTTAAAATCCTCTCGAATCTTTCTTCTATTCTGAACTGGAACTACTCAATTATGCCACAGATAATAATAATCTAACAATTGCAGGAACTTGCACACTTTTCAAAAGAGATTACAACAGTTAGCTGGTTAACTATTAATGGCAAGGGAACAGAATCTTCTTCTGAATTAAAGGAACGGATTGACATTCATACTTAACAGGTTATTAGTAGAAATCTCAATTACGAGTCAGACTCGTCGAAGTACTGTAAATGTTTAATAAACCTGGGGAACTTCGGGGAATATTTTCACTTTGATGAATTTTGAAAAACGGCTTTTAATTTACTGCAAAGGGATCTCGAACCTTGAGTAATTGGCGTTTTTACGAGTGAAAGGGATTTTTGCATGGTAATTTTGTCGTAGTAGAACGTAATGGGCTATCGTGCAAATCTTTCGCGATGAAAAGTGACTCTGTTCGAGGAACTGCTGAGAAGGTGAAATAAATTGTCCTCGACGCGTCGCGGTTTACTGAATATTCAGTAAAAATTCTAGTCGTTGAGAGTCCTCGGGGGAAAATTTACGGAGCTCGAGGAGGGAGGGGGGGTCGGCAACGGGATCGCGGTGCATGACAAGCCAACGGGGAATTTACTTAATCAACTGCTTAACCAGCTGCGCGATCCGTCTTCTGTCGGCAGGACAGAGATCCTGTATGTGCGGGAACGTGGCCGGGTGCTCGTCATCTTCGCCCCTGCACTTCGAGCAGAATTCCTCTTCGGCCTTCACCGTCTCGCTCTCTGTCGAGATCGTTTGTCTGCTCGAAGATTAAACAGTCACCAAAATTTTCTGTTATTAACAGACAAAGTAGGCCGACGCGGCTCGGCATCCCCGGAATTCGTTTCTCGGAGACCCTCCGATCCAGCTGCGCGCGAAATCTGACTCGGCAGCTTCCGAATAACAACGAAAATTAATTATCCTGCACGACGGAGTTGCGAGTTCGTCTCGAATTATCGTTCCGCCGGCGACAATGCATTGGCCTGCTACTCCATTGAAACTCGTAGTTGATTAATTTAATACTGATTACGAAACGACGGATTATAACGCGCGCGAAGACGACACAACCAGCGAATAGAAGTCCAACCTCTCAGTGCCGAACAGCGATATATCGTAGTCGGTTACATCTTCTTCGTGTTTTAAATAGATAACAATTTTATTTCTTATTTCTTCTCCCTTTCTGAATCTTCTAATAATTCTAAAAGATTATCATAATTGTTTCTCCGAAACTTCAGCGAACTACATAGAACACGTTTGGAACATCTCGCTCAGATACCACGCGAGTTTCTTGATCGGCGCTAAGAGGGTATCGACACTCTAATTCCCTTCTCATGTCGTTCAATTGCAATAAAAGCAAACTTTCGTATCGACGGTTTGCTGATCCAGCTCGAAGTTTAACCTAACTATCGGCCAGCGAAGCAGTGAAATTAGTCGAATAACACTGACCTTCTTCATCGTTCCGATGCATCTGTTCGTTCTCCCGATAGATTCGCAGGGTATGCTGATGGAGTCTCGCGAGTCTGCTCAAAGGAATTTCTATTCAGGAGCTGTTTCTTCTCGGGTGGGCACGGGGGACGGCGGAGACAACGGGGGGAGGAGGAGGAAGGGAGAAAATGGCACGGAGTGAAAGTGACATCTACCTTTTGCTCCATTTAATATAGGAATTCATAAGCTCGCCGTCGTCGTAGTCGTTCGTATACATTGTTAGCAGACATATCCGCACGAGGTCCCCAGACGGTCGTAGAACCGGAAAGCGGTTTTCGCGGCAGAAGGTCAGAAGTCGAGGAGCGGAGCTCGAGAGCTCGATTCTCGTTACGAGCGCGCAGCGGTTTGAAGATTCCCTGCGGTAACGATTCTTTTCTGTCCAGGGAACACTCGATTTTCCGTTGATCCCTGAAGTTGCAGTTATACCGCGTTTTCAAAGGGACGCTGGATCCATCTTGACAATCGTTGCTCCGCCGTAGGGCGTGACGAGATTTCTTCATTGATCGGACAGTATGATTTAATATTAGACTCACCGTGGACCGCCGTGGCGAACTTCGGGAAAAGTAGCTGGGGACTGTCGCACCATCTGCATCAGATATTAGAGGGTTCCAGGAAACAGTGACGAGAGACTTATGGCTTGTACTCGTGCCTTATGCGATTGAAATTTTTACCTTTGTGCTCCAGCAGGCCCTTTGGGTTTGACAGATTCCTAGTATTCGAGCGGAAGCTGCATATCCATTATTAATAATGACCATGCTGAGGATTTTATACATTTGTGATCAAAATGAGTGGATGAAGAATAAACCAGTAGAAGAATTAAAGAGTTATATATCGATATATTCTTCTCAGTTTATTGAAATTATTAAAGGAAGATCGAAATTTCTAGGTCTACGGGAGTTGTAAATTCCCGACTCTAATTTAACAATGTGGTTCGCGATGCTCTTGTGCCCACTTAAAGTAACAGAGCTGGTAGTGAAGGGTATTGACTGTTNCTGAGGATTTTATACATTTGTGATCAAAATGAGTGGATGAAGAATAAACCAGTAGAAGAATTAAAGAGTTATATATCGATATATTCTTCTCAGTTTATTGAAATTATTAAAGGAAGATCGAAATTTCTAGGTCTACGGGAGTTGTAAATTCCCGACTCTAATTTAACAATGTGGTTCGCGATGCTCTTGTGCCCACTTAAAGTAACAGAGCTGGTAGTGAAGGGTATTGACTGTTGCACTTTTTAACAGAAATAACGACTTTAATTTAGAAGACTAGTTATAGTACATGGAGTGTTTTCGGTCTGTGTGGTGTCGAATGATTGTTGAAGACTATCCGCGCCTCGCGATGTACCGGCCTTTTTATTGAGGAAGCTTCTTTGTGAAGCTCCCCCTTCCCGGATAGAGACGTGCACTGAATGGTTTTTGCCGAAAATTATGTTTATCCAATCAGTGCCCTTTTAAATTTTAGCAACTCCCCGAGAGCGACTGGTCTCGGAGAGGACGT